CCCCAAAACCCCAAAACCCCAAAACCCCAAAACCCCAAAACCCCAATTCGAACGTCTGGCTGGAAACCTTAAAAATTGCATAAACTGATTCTAAATCCATGCTTCTTCTTCCTCATCAGTATCCTGGCTTCTCAAGTTTCCTTCATCTAAACACAATAATACCCATAATCTCTATACTACCTTCGGATCCCCAGAATTTGATAAAAATTCATAAATTTAAAGTTTTGAAGACTTTTAAGACATTTTGACATTTTTAGAAATTTTGTAAAAATGTTAATTTTCGAAGAAATTTTGAAATTTTTAGGGAAATTTTAGAGATTTTGTACTTACTCCACTCTGATTTAGAAGGAACTGTAAGGGTTTGCGAGGCGGTTAGGTATTTCTAAAGGTTATTTAAGTAGTACCTTTGTCTTCTTTTTGGTCTTTTTAGGTGGCTTATTTTTGATAGGTAGTTTATTGTCTTGGGGAAATAGCTCAGGAAAATCTTTGAAATCTCATTTTCGGTAAGTAAAGCCAGAGTCTTTAAGTTTGTTGACTCTTTCTTTCTCCAGGTGGGCTCTGTATTGACGTTCCAGGTATTGATAAACCCCGCTTGACTCTATCACTGAGACAGAATCATCAACAGTATGCGAATCATAAGGTCTGATTCTAGGACTTGCCTAAACATATAACTCTCTTTAATACCATTGTTTGGCTGAATGCTGGAGTACGATTCCTCTTCTTTCTCTTAGGCATAGAGATACTACTTTCAGCTTTTGAATTTAATAAACTTTGGCTGGGATTTCTCGACCTAGCTCTTGGGGTAATTGGAGAAGTTGATTTCCTACTAAAGAGCTTACTTTTAGCCCTCTTCTTCCTGGTCGGTTCTAGATATCACAATAAGATAATTATTCATAATGTGTTAAAATCTTACTTAAAACGCCAATATTGGGTTGAAAAGTGCAGTTCTGCATTTCTTTAGTCCTCTTATGGGCAATATTTTGTAAGAAATGCTTGTCCCTCTCATGAGATTTATCAAAGCTCATGGAATAAAGCTGTTCCCATCTCTTTATCTCCGAATCGAGCATTTCATTGCCAACTCTGGAAGAGTATTGGAACAAGTGTGATCCTGGCTGGGTTGTACTAAGAAAAGACTTTTTAGATATCTTATTCTTCCTTTTCACCAGAGGACTCTTACTCCTACTCTTCTTTGTGCTAAAATTTCGGGAAGAAATTGATGGACTCTTGGGTTTATTTTGGAGTTTTTGATCGAGAAGGACTCTTGATAAACCGCTTCTTCTTGGAGATTTTCTTAACAATTAAACACAAAATTACTTTCTTCTTTTTCAACTTCATTTTAGTACCACTCTCTTTGGTCTGGTTGGAGATAAGATTCGGATCTGAGCCGAATGAATCATTCAAGAACGCAATTTCTTGGTCAGGGTGTACGGTTTCGGGCACTATTTTCGCTTTCTCTTCTTCCATGATTAACTTTTGTGCTTTCTCAGCGAAATTCTCAGTTGGAGAAAAAAGTGGGTTATTAGAGACTTTCTCATTGCTATAAGGAGTAAATATTCAGAATACCGATAGTTTTGAGTATCTTGGGGGTTATAGCCTGGCTGTAAATCGTTGAAAGATGGAATGCATTCCTCAGGCTCTGTTTTCAGCATGGAGTTCATTAGTTGTTTAAACCTTTTCCTTGAGCTCATATTCTCTTATTTCCTATACAATGATTGAGTATAGTCGAATATAAATGTGAATTGAAGGAATTTATAGACACATGATGGACACATACTTATCAAATAAATTTTATCAACTACTATAATTATCTGGGGTTTTGGGGTTTTGGGGTTTTGGGGTTTTGGGGTTTTGGGG